ACTAGTATCGTACACAAATATTCATTGCTATATTCTGCTTGATTCGCTCTCTGCTTGCAACATGGGTAACGTGACCATTTATTTTTTTTGTTTTAAACGGGACATTTTTTGAGACGTAGTCTGGAAGGAATACAAAAATGGAAAGTTACTAATGGAAACACAATATACATATTAGCATTAATTTAAATGTAATACCACAGGCAAGTTGAACACAGTTTTCCTGATTTTCTTTAAACACTACCCATGGATCTTTAATGCAAATAAAAAATTGTTGGTAACATTTTTACACAGTCGTTCCAATCAAACAATATATGAAGGTTTAAAAAATCTTTATTAAAGGAATCACAAATTTATAGTTACATTAACTTTATTATGTAGTCCAACTTTTTGAACACTTGCCCGTTGACCAAAAATAGTAAGGTATCGTAGGCAATTAACGCCCGCTTAATTTCAAATCAATATAATATTTAATGAAACAATTTAATTAAAAAACCGTTTAGAGAAATAGTTTTATTGTGAAGAAATAAACATAGAAAACTAACACTCAAGTGCTATAAGTCGTATAAAATTATGCAAACAAAGAATTCTTGAATACCCTGTCATGGGCGATATTGAACATACAGTTTTTAGTAACGCCCAAATATTATTTAACGAATTATCTCAATAAACATTAAAATTTCGACTTAGAGCCGTATAAAACCAAAAAGTAAATTATATTGACTTTTTTTATAAAGCACCACAATAGTCATAATTGAATTACAAATACGCCAATATTTAAATTTAGTAACTCGTCTAACACTTCTTGTATTTTCTACGTAATCATCTTTAACAAAAATATCTTACTTCTAACATGTTTTAAAACTATAGAAAATCAACATTTATGGGAGTTTTCATAAAAATATTAATTATCATGAAATGCTTATTGGGCGCTATTAAACGTAGATGGCTAATGACGCCCCAGTACAGCGCTTCAAATAACGCCCTGAAATAAAGTACAAAACTTAAACATTAATGAGATCAGTAATCAAATAATAAAACATCAGAATTAAAATATCCTAAGAACTACTCTGAGTGACTATCAATAATCAGTCTTACAGTGCTACCGGTAATCAGTCTTACAATGTACTGGAATTTAAAACTTTTTATATTTATTCACAACTTGAACAAATGAAGTCTTCATCATCTTTCGAGAGGCCCACACACTCCTCATGGTACCACTTCATGCACAATTTACATTGTCTCATGTCCAATTTCGTATTTTCATGGCATGCATAGCAATACCATTCTTCTGTATCGTCTTCTTTTTCATTAATTCTCTTTTTATTTTGTGTCTTCTTTTTTGTTTTTATTACTCTATTTTTAATCTTATCCTTCTTGTTCTTCTCATTTTTTTTGGTTTTGGTTTTCTTTGTTTTCTTTTTACGTTCATCTTTTTTGTTAAAGAGGTCTTTAGTAATACGTTGACCTTTATAATTGATAGCTTTCTTTCGTGGACGGTTTGTTTTAGTTACAGCGTAATTAGGAGTAGGTAAAAATTTTTCAAATTCTGTTTTGTTATTTGGTTTCTTCAAATTTAACAACGGTACATCATCTTCATCTGAAAAACAGTACTCATCATCATTAGGTTTTGCTTCTTTTATTTGCTTTTTAGGCGTTGTCTCTCCTTTATTTATAATACCTAAATTTTCATTTTCTTCATCTGTTGATGAATAACCATAGACGTCTTCAACTGAATATTTAAAGTTATTATGTGATAGCTTGTTTATGAAATCATCTATGTCAGATGAATCAGAGCTGTAATTTCGGCGTATAGGTCTTTGCAGACCTGAACAACTCGGAACTGCCATATCAATGTCATTATAGCTTTCTTTATTTGTAGGCGTTTCAGGAACCACACATACATTTTCAGAAATTATGGATGGTGAAGCACATAAGCTATGGTCTGAATCATGCAGTGTAGAATTATGAGGAGCTTGTTCCAATTCAGTTTCAGAAAAATCAGTAGATGAGCTATAATCAACAATACGTGGAATGTTTGTTTCCCTTAATTCTGAAGTAGACGGTAGATAATTCTGCATATTTTGATACTGTTCAGAAGAAATCTCTCTTCTAGGCATCACATTTAGGTCGTTGCCAGAATCAACATCAAAATCATCAGGAGTCGAGACCCGTATGTTCGATGGGTTTACATGGAAATTAGGCTGATTTTCATCAGAGTCAGTATCAGTATTAGCATCAGGTTTCTCCACTTGTTTATTTTGATTTTGAGGACATGGAATTTCAGATAAAACTGATGGAGCAAATGCTTCTTCAGGGATTGCTTCAGGATTATAGGGGTAAAGACCTGTAGCTTTGAACCCATTCACTATATTAGTATGTGTCATGCATTTGGGCCACACTTGAGAAAATATTTTATTAAAATCGGCTTTGTTCAATGTCCTATTAACGTTGACTGACAAAAAATTCAAGACAGCTTCATCCCAGTGATGTTCAAAGGATTTATTTACCGATTTGTCCAACGGTTGCAATTCGTGAGTTGTATTTGACGGGAGGCAGTAGAGAACTATATCATTTTTATCAGCTTCATCTAGCGCCTCGACTGATAGATGGCACTTTGCTCCATCAAAAATTAATAAACATTTATCAGCGACTTTATGTTTTGCCAGGTGCTGAATAAATTCCACAAATAAATCTGAAGTCATACTTCCCTTCTGTGCCATTCTAACTAATGTTCCAGCTGGTAGATTTTCTGTTAGATCTGGTCTGTTTCTTTGCCCTTTAAAAATTATCATAGCTGGAATCGCCGTACCTATAGCATTCACACACATCGCTATCGTCACGTTCTCTGCATGCTCCGGAGCAATGAGGTGAACTCTTTTGCTCCCTTTTGCTGCCAAAACTGTATGCTGTTTATGCACAGTTATTCGACATCCTTTCTCGTCCATGTTATATAACCTTTCTGGGTGTCGCAGTATATCTAACTCGTCATACAATTTACGGATACTTTGAAAATGTTGTTCAACAATAGGTTTATTTAATTTTTGTGCACGCGCTGGATTCATCATTTGCGGCTTACGTTTACTAATGGATGGATTTCTTTTTAAAAATTGTCTCAACCAGTCTACACCAGCAATTCTTTTGGAACTATTGAAATTATTTTTGATGTCATGCCTCTCGCAAAATAAGAAAGCTTGTTTTCTAATGAATTTAGGAGTTAGTGGAATCCCAATGCTTGCAAATCTTTTTATCCGAGAAGCTAAATCTCTTTCTTGATTCATCGTCAAAATAGGCTTTCTCCCCAAACGTTTAATTTCTTCACCAGTTTTTAAGTGATCTCTCAAAGTTCTTCGCGGAATATTATATCTTTCTGCTGCTGATCGCTGAGTCAAATGTCCTCTTTGCACGGCATTAATGGCAGCTTTCATTGTTTCTTCAGACCATGACTCCCCTCTTTTCTTACGTGTGGGATTAGATGGAGCCATTTTCCCGATCTGTAAAAAGCAGATGAATATGACACACAAATTTTGGCCATGTATAAATACGCCCACAATATGGATAATAACGCCCAAACCTCATTTTACTGGGCGTTTTTACCCGAATAGTACCGTCTACTATTTTCATATTTTCACACATAATTACAAACAGATCAATTAAATCTTCAGTGAAATATGAAATAAAGGTATCTAAAATAAAAACTGATCACAAAATTAACAACAAATAGGTAGAAAAATGAAGTAAAACTTACAAATTTGTCCGAGTGTATTTTATAATAACAGCGTGCACTGTCGTCGTTCTTGGTTCGTGGCTCGCTACTGAGAATATTCGTGGCGTGATCGACGGCGCGTCGCGTCTCTGCGTTCCTATTGGATTATTCTATGTGTGCGTGAAGCGTAACGTAACTCGCGCAACATTTTATCCGATTTTTAGCATTCGGGCGTTATTACACATTGGGCGTTAAATGCCATACCTACCTTACATAGTTTCAGGGTTTTCGGCTTAAATAATTGAAATTTTGACATAAAATTTAAGCAAATAAAACGAGATAGTTTCGTAATTTTTATTGATATCTGTCGATCTGATATCAATGCTATCTTCTTCCATTTCAAGCTCAAAATCGGGTTCCCTCGAAAATCCATCTACATCATCTTCTATATTGCTGTCACCAGTCATTTTTTTTTTGTAGAACAACTGCGCATTGTTCGGGATCAAATGCATTTACAATCTTACACTTTCACAGCGGAGCGTTTAGAGCGCCCGCTTGATCCAGTACGCGGGCGATTTTCTGCATAATTGTTAACATCGTAGAAAAATAACGGACAGGAGTATATAGATAATTCTTTTTGTGTATGTAAAATCTACTATTGTATTTTATGGATAGGTAATAAATAAAAACAAATTATATTATTTATATTTTTTATTATAAATTTTAAAAAATTGTCATTTTTTCGAAAAAAAGTCATACAGACTCCTTACGTCTATTCTAGGTGGTAATTCTTTACTGTGTGGTACTTTTTGAAGCACGGGTAAATAAAGGCACCTTACAATCAGGGCAGTAAAAAGAAGTTCTTTACGTCCTCGTTTCCCAGTTCTGTGTTTGATAGTGTTGGCGCAAACTTTACAGACCCTCGTTACATTTTCCTTCTTTTCTGTAGGTGGTATTTTTTCTATAAAGTGTCTTCCCACCAATCTGGAAGTTTTGCCGACCAAGTGTGCTCCATGAGATGGACCTGCAGCATCAGTAGACCGACTTTCCACAAGGTCTTCAGCACACCTCATCAAAAATTGGGAAAACCGCAATCGGCGGCGTACGGGCTGCTGTTGATTATAAATTACCATCGCGTTCACCATGGTCCTTGCTAATAAATGAAAAAAACATTTTTTTCCACCATGTAGATTTAGTCCCTACACACCATTTCATGCATTTTCTTTGCAGGCTATAAAATGACACATATTGGTCGTTGAGGTCCACACCGACTTTATTGACATTGTAGTCTAAGACGCAGTCCGGTTTAATTTTTTTTTTGCTAAACTTCCTTTCGTCTTGACTGTCACCTCACTCCAGGTTGCGGCGTGTTTAGTAGTCAGGAAGGGGACGTCCCGCTTGTCTCTCCATTTACACACGGTCATATTCCCGCGGTGACAGAGGGCCATTTCGTTTGCCTCCAGCGGCTGTTGTCGCCATTCTTGGGGCAAACCACGTCGGTTCGGCATCATAGTGCCGACAACGTGAGTATTTTTCAGCCACAGCAGGTCAGCAACAATTGGGCTGGTGAAGAACCGATCCATATAAATAGTGTGCCACTTTGCAATGTATTGTTCACTTAGCTGGGTGACTATTTGCTCAACGGTTTGAAGTCACCCACGTATGTAACCATATTCAAAATATAACCGGTCGCTGCGTCGCACAACACGTAAATTTTCATCCCATATTTGTCGGGTTTATCTTTGTTGAAAACACGAAAGTGTACTCTACCTCTAAAAGCACATGTTCCTTCATCAATGATCAATGCTTCACCTGGATAAAAACTGGTGGCATACAGGCGACACAGCTCGTCAAAATATGGCCGCAGCTTGAAAAAGGCGTCATAGTTGTTCTGGCCGCGAGGTATATACTATGAATTGTCGTTTAGTTAGATGAAGACAGCTGTAGATAGCTTTAAACCGATCTCTATTTATAAATTTGGCTGCATAAGGGGTGTGTATAATTTCCCTTGTGGATCAGTATGCGTCAAAATTCATTGATTATTGATAATTATAATATTTCTATCGCTAATATTGCAAGACTCGATAAGCGTTTCTGGCTCATAGAAGATCGTAAATAATTTTTAATCAGTTTTAGTTTGCTAAAACTTCGCTCGCAGATTGCGGACGTAGTAGGAAGCTAGAGTAAATTCGGAGAGCAATACAATTATTAGGAAAAGCATCCTGCTAATCATGCGCATAGATCTGTTGCAAGAGGTAAAAACTGTTAGCCTTTTTATATCACCAAATAAAACCGCAGCTTGCTTTTTAAAAACATGGAGTTCCTGGCAGAATTCTACAGCACTTAATCTGGCTCATATTTTCGGGCCAAATCTGCTGTATACTTTTATAGTTCTTCATTTGACATTTTCAAAATGTTGGTACCATTAAGAAAAGCAAAATTCAAATTCAGCTTGGTAGCACAATCAAATCTCTTCATAATATCGGATATGTTCATTATTTCTTTAGAAAAAAGTTGAACAGGTTGGTGTATTGGCAATTCGTCTTCACACATCTCGTTGAAATTTTTTACGTTTTGGTATTCATTTGTATTGTAAAATAGGGTCAACATCACATTTTTCAGCAACTTCGCCAGCTTCTTTTATCCAATATTGGATTTGGTCTCATTTTTTGCAATGCGATGGAACGGGCAAGCATAATATCTTCTTTCTGAATTTCAATCGATTAATTTCGCGGAGAATATTCGCCCAAATAGTCAAATTAAGAATAAAGAACAAAGGCAGATTTCTATACTTACAATTGTCTGAAATTAAATTAAAGCATCCCTTAATAAAAAAATATGTCTTAAGTTTCGGCGTTAGTACCAGACGCTATAAATGAGTCTAATTTAATTCGGGAAAGCTGAAAAAACATATCATGTTTAGATTTTTAGGTTATGAATAAACAGAAAACATGACTATTATCTTGTGACTAATATAATATTAACATTTAATCAAACCGAAACTGATATTTACAAATAAAATGTACCCCAATTTATTACGTTTACTATTTTGCCGGGCATGTTTCGATTTGCAACGCGGCCAAAACCACGGCTACGATCGTCAGTTGCACGTACAGCGCGCTTCAAAATGGACGTTGAGGAAATAGCAGTGCTTTTGTATCTTATAAGTAAGAAGCGGAAAAAGAAAAGGAGAAAATATTGGGTTCATCCCTTGCTTCGTGAAAGGCGAACAAAAGGATTATTTTATACTTATTTCACGGACCTTCAGCAATATGATGACAAGTTCTTTAATTATTTACGGATGAGCAAGTCTACGTTTGAAGAACTGTTAAGAATATTAAGACCATCTATCACCGGCACCGTCACTAAATTTCGTCCCTGCATTTCTGCTGAGGAAAAACTTGTTGTAACTTTAAGGTAAGCCTATGCCTATCTACTTTTATTTAACCCATTAACGCCCAAATTAAAACTACGATAAATTTTACATAATCAATGTTTATTTACGGCACAAAAATACTTTCTTACGAACAAAAAAAATAAAGAAAAAAAATGTTTTTATAAAAAGTTGGGTTTTTTGGGGTGTACTAAGTTTAGTACAATGGGCGCCTAAGAGTGATATTTAGCAAAGCATCCTCTATCCAGACACAGTGTTTTCAGGCACTTTCCACAAGCGGTTTTGACTCTATTGGAGCACACAGTACATCTAAGTTGGTTTGGTATTTTTTCCGGATTATGGCCATTGTTTGTTCTTTCTTCTCCATCAATCCTAGAGGAAGACGGTCTATTCTTATAGGGCTTTTTATTACTCAGATATGTACGTGCAATATGTCTGCGGAATGCTAGCTGATCCATTCGACTATCTGAGTTTGCAATGCAATGTAGTCTCCATGCATTGGAAATTGCCATATCCACCATATAAGTGAACAAGACCCACCACCACTTTTTTCCTCTCACCCCAATTCGGTAAAGTCCGATGGACTGATC